AAAAAAAAAAAACATTCCTTATTGAACTTTTCTTAAATAGAGTTGGTGAGAGGGATAGTGGTGGAAAATAAGGTCAGAGAGTCCATCTCCCACATATTCCCTCCTCATCCAGTCACATGACTACACCCTTCCCAATGTCTCTTGCATCCATCTCTCAGTGCTGATCTTAGTTCAGGCCCTTACCATCCTTGTTTTGTTCACCTGAGAATGGCTAGTACAACGCTTCCCACACTGTAGGTGCTCCACAAATGTTTGAAGATAACATATTTAAATTACCTTCTCCAGAATATGGTGTCTTGGCTGGCCCCTTATTAAGCACCTAATGGAATTTGTGTCCCTGAATTTGGTTTCCTTTAGTATTATGACCTCTGGTTTGAAACTTTATTGTGATGAGAAATGACGTTACATTCACACACAAACTTGAGAGTCTAGACCATTTTTTTATTATCCGCTTAATTGACACAAAGTTCACTGTAGATACACCTTGCTTTTACACAGGCTTGTAAATAGAAAAACACATCAACGCACAAAAATATGGTACTTCAATATCAAATTTAAACAAATGACTTCCAAACAGAATACAGGTTATTTATTTCAATAATTAAAGATGGTTCTTGTGTGTGCATTATATGATGTATATGTTTAATTGTATATTATGTTCAAGGTCAATGGAATCTGTAGCTAATTGCTCATTTGGTTCTTGAAAGACTGAAACATAGAAATATTGTCTTCTTTTTAACTACACAAACAGATCATATAAAATGTTCCCTGATATGTAGCTGTGAAATTATGATTTACTCCACTGAAGTTCTTAATGGCAACTTTAGAAGGCACTGCTTGTGATTATGGCCCTGCCCTTAAAATGTCTGAATCTTTTCCTCATTAGAAAACACAATTCTAATGCATAGGACTCAATGTGTTCTTTAGTATTTAAAAGAAGTCCTCATTTCAAGGATAGAAATATATAAGACCTTAGTAACCACAGCTAAGTTTTTTAGGGG